TGTTTCAATAGCACGGATTGATTTTTTAATGTAACTCATGTTATTACAAATGTAACTCGCGTTGATGGCAAATATAACTTAGGTGTATAGAAGATTTAACTTTTTGGAAAATTGAACAATGATTTTTTTTTGAGTTTGAGAATTACACACACAGGAAAGAGTTCAAATAAAAAGTGATCTTCCCGTGCAAAGTGGAAGTTTGAGACTTAAAGTTTGAGACTTTATTATTTCAAATAATAATGACTAAAGTACTACTCCGTATTGAAATAAATCAATATACCAATATGCGATATTCTTAGTAAATAATGACTTAATCTCTCGTCACTTAAACCTAATGCAAGAGTCTGATTGAAATAAATATAGCAGAAGACAACAACGACATCATTCATGTCTAAAAAACTCATAAAAGTAAAACGGAATTTAATAACAAAAATTGACACAGCAAACGAATCCATGCTTCAAACATCATCCTCGGCGGTGGCTCAGGAGGGGGACGAATCATCAATCATTCATCTTGAAACATTCCTTGCAAACTCACCACCACAATTTTCAATGACATCCCCTTAATCCTTGTGATTATAGCACGAGTGAACCCGGAATCCATGCTTAAGGGAGTCTCCCCAATCGAAACCAGTGACACAGGCGAGGAGTCCATAACCCAAGCAAAACGCACGATCCAAATCTGCTTCTGCCTGCTTACCTTCCAAAACGCCCAAGCCAATGCCCTGCTGCGTTCGAAACCTCCCAACCTCGCCGATCAATAACCTGCCGCGCAGCAGTCCACCAAAGCCTGCAATTCCTTCTCAAAGTCCGCACGTCTGAAACCGAAAAACGAAGAAAATTGTCTGCGATGAGAGATAGCAGCAGCCGAACTAGTCCCTTTTCTTCAAGCTTCCACGCCTTGCGAAGAAAGCCCTAAGCCTGGCAAAATCTGTCACGTAAAAGAAGAAAATCTGCCAAAGCCTGCCAAAATCTATTTGCTAATAATTATGTGTCTATCACTCATGACACATGTGCACCGTGGATATTATAGCATTGAAGATGCTCTAATCACCCGGAAAACGACCGTCACTTTATGCTTTTTAGTTTACTTTATGCTTTTTAGTAGGGAGACCACCGTGGCTAATAAGTTTACATTATGCTTTTTAGCTATGTTGAAAGAACCAGACCGGACCGGGCGGGTCGACCCGGAACCCGATCACCCGGCTCCAAATCCGGTTCGGTTATCGTTTAACCCGTTAATTGATGAAACTCGGAAAAACCCAATGACCCGTGTAGAACCGGCCCGCACCCGGAACCGCAGAAACCCAGTTTTTTTCCAAAACCCAGACATTGGGACGAAATGGCGTATGCTGGACTCGCACCTGCGCCGCCGGGGTAGCATTTTGGCTTTCATTCCACTTGACCAGCTTCCTTTTTTGGCAAGATGTGTAGCTATGATGATATTATAATACACACATACGTACTACGTACCTTTTTGCCCCACAAAGGAGTATTTATTAAGCATTAACTATTGGTTAACTAAACAATTCAAAATAATAATAATACATATATAGTTATACACTCATGTTTATATTATACTTCCCATTATGTATACTCCGTTTTATGTTTCATGTTTCAAGTATATGTGAAAAAATATATATATATGTATACATATATATATATATATATATATATATATATTATTTTGAATATTTTGTAATTGTTGTCATATCTATATATTTTATCCATCTACAACCAAATCTAATTTTTTTTGTAAACCAACTCTAAAATAATAATTTATTAATTGAATTATATTGTATCATTATTAATGTATGAAGGAATAACATTTTCAACCTATATATATACTAATATACATATTTATGTGTATAAATATTAAATATTATATGTGTGTGTTGACCGGGTTTTCCGGGCGTTGACCGGGCTGACCCGCCGGGTCCGGGTTGACCCTTGACCCGGCCATCGCTCCGGGTCACTCTCCGGTCCGGTTTTTACAACATAGCTTTTTAGTAGCGCTGAAGTTTTTTTTTTGAAAATAGTAGCGCTGAAGTTTGAAAGTAACAATTCACTTAAAATTATGAGAAAAATAATTAAAATATTCCAAACTTTGAAAGAGTGTGAGATAAACACCCCAAACTTTCCTATGTAATTTAAATACTCCAAACTTTATATAAAAAGTTATTTTAGCACCATGATTTTGTATTATATTGTTCAAAAATGTAAATTTATGGTGTTAATTGCATAATATAAAATAGCAAATTAAAAATTCTGCAATTATATAGAGTGGGGGTTCGTGGTATTATTTATTTTACAATGGAAGTTTAGAATGTCAATTGTATCTTCATGAATGCTAAAATATTTTATATAATGAAATTAACACAAAAAATTGCCGTTTTCGAAAGAAATAATACATGACCATGGCGCTAAAATAACTTTTTATATAAAATTTGGGGTAATTAAATTACATATGCAAGTTTGGGTGCTTATCTCACACTTCAAAGTGTGGGGTATTTTGATTATTTTTCCCTAAAACTATTTGTATACGTTTTGTTGTACACGAGGGCCGATCTCGAGAAAATGGGGGCTATGTGCAACAACAAAAATTTGGGCTTCCTTTCCCACACAAGTAGATATAAAACATAAATAAATATGATACTCTATCTGTCATGTTAGGATTGTCTTATTTTTTTCTTTTCGATCTGTTCCACTAATATTATCTCATACTCTGTATCAAATTTGATAAATTTTGTGTAATTCTAAATCATTTTACTTTAGCAATTCGATATCAATGAGGTAAACTCTTTTTTCTTAATAAGCGTACCATCTCATCATGTCACAAGATAAGTAGGACGGAGCTAGTAATATTTATACATTACTCATAATTTATGTCAAAATAAAATTTACTAACACATAATAGTAAAGATAATCTAATAACAAAACTGAATCAGACCATTAATTATAATTACTTTAATATAATAATCACTTAATTCCATTATAAATTATTTCTGGACTTTTCCAGTCGCGTGGCATGTCCCTTTATCACTGCAGAGCCAGTTGCCGGTTGGTTGGAAAGGGTATCACTTGGAAATGGTTTACTTGAGCTGCAACATGGGCTGGGAATTGGGATGGGAGGGTCAACTGCTTTTGCACATGAGCTGATTCGACCTTTATCAATCTTTATCTCATGGGCTGACGTATACTACATACGGAGTACTTGTATTATTTTATTTTGGGCCTTCGGAAATTATGGGCTCTGTGCGAGTCGGCCGCCTACCCCTGCCCAGGGCCGGTCCTGTTGTAGATATCATTTTATACGGAGTACATGTTTTGTCTGTGAATAGATTATTCACAGATAAAAAAATAACTGTCCATGGACATGTGTAAAATGGTGTGTACGACAGTGTGTACGTGAATAATTTTTTATCCAATTATAGTTTTACTCATTAATTTAGGAGGAAAGTGTCAATTGAGTACACCAACTTGTATAAGGTGGAGTAAAGAGTACATTATATTGCATTTGATCTTTTTAGGTACACAAATTTTGGATTTTAGTGTTAATTGAGTACACTTGTTAGATTAACACATTAACACAGCTCAGTTGGCTAACGGAATGCTAATAGGTCGACTTCTTGAAGGTCGACACCATCCCCCAACCACTCAATCTAACGGGTGTACTCAATTAACACTAAAACCCGAATTTGTGTACTTAAAAAGATCAAATGCAATATAGTGTACTCTTTACTCCACCTCATATAAGTTGATGTACTCAATTGACCCTTACCTCATTAATTTAGAGAACACTGTGGGGGAAACCTCACAATTAAGAAGGGTAAGAAACTTGGAAACAATTCAAACTTAATGAATTTTGGTTTTTACATACATCCAAACTCATTTTATTTATAAAGACAACATAAACCCAAATATATTACTCACACCTTTATTTACTTGTATGTGATACATTCTTTTCAAGAAGCTATTGTTATTATTTATTACATTTTCATAATTTGAATAGCTAGCTGCAATTTTTTGAAACAAACAAATAGCCACAAATAAGAAAATATAAAGAGTGAAAAAGAATATGAAAATTAATCCATTTCATTTTCCTTTGCATTTTCTACAGAAATATCACACTCCAAAAATAAAATATTTCAAGTCGCACATGATGTTTTCCCTAGAATTTTGTTTCAAACGATTAAATTTTCAAAAACTAGAGTTATCACTAAAATAAAATGTAAGCCCATAGTCATGTTAGAGCAACTCCAATGCAAGTGTGCATTGGAGTTCCATGTCAGCAAATGCACACTTTGTTGTAAAATGTACTCTCCAATGTGAATGCCAATGGACCTTCAAAATCTGAGTTAGCATGAGAGAAGGTCCAGCACAAGGTCTACAAATAGACCTTCGATGCCACCTTCTGACATTCTAGCTAAGCAAGGAACCCAAGTACTCCCTCCGTTTCTATTTGGTTGACACACTTTCTTTTTTTGGACATTTCAAAATGAATACCACACTTCTTTATTTCCTTATTTGGTAAACAAATCTTTACCTAAACATTGCAAAACAGTGTCAAACAGTATTCAAACAGTATTCAAACAGTGCCAAACAGTGTACTCTACAGTAAAATTTACCCCTCAATAACTTTTTTCCCTTAAATCTTGACAAGTCAAACTGTGTCAACCAAATAGAAACGGAGGGAGTATGTAGCTTTCCCTTCTTCTTTTATTAATTTTTCATTTATTTTTTTTGTTTTTCCCTTTCTATATTGGAGTTCACTCCAAATAGACTTTCTCTATTTGCTCTAGACCCACTCCATTTCATTGCCACGCCTACAGCAATGCCGGTTTTGCTAGAGGTACACAAAATGTGTACACATGTCTGTCGTTCACAAAATTTTGTCTGTCACAGACAATTCATTTTGAGTTGTCTGTGACAGACACAATTTCTATGAAGGACAGACATGTGTACACATTTTGTGTACCTCAAACATTTTTCAGAGCAATGCACTCCATCATTGGAGTTGGGGGGCATAGGAAATGGTCGATATTTTATACAAAGTACAAAGGATAAGTAATAGATGGCCTAGTACATACGTGTATATAGATGGCAAAGGCGATTAAATGTACAAATATTGCCTTCAATCCCAAGAAGAAAGTAATTGAAACACCGAAAATAATTTTATTTTCTGCATCGAAAATAAATCTAAATTGAATTAGTTTAAACAAAAATATATACTCCGAGTGTATTTGAATTTTGAACCCCAATTTTATTCATATTCTTTTTTAGCTTCATTCACTTTGTGTATATAATACGGAGTACGAAGTAATAATTTTCTCCTTTTGTGGTGCTCGTTTTTTTTTCAAAAATAATTTAGGCCGTTGAAGGAGTGGGACCCAAAGTGATGGTTGGCCTCAACAAAGGAAAACCTCAACGCTGGAGCTTTTGACGCAGTAGCAAAGTGGGCAAGTCATACAAACGGCGTCGCATTGCACACACAGGCAAAGATGCCGACACGGCAACAGAACCACGGCGGCGACTCGCTTCTGACACGCTCGGCAACTCGTTCCGGCAGACTCCTCGACTCTGTCCGGATCGATATAGGCCGACTCGGCGTCTTCCGCATCGCCGCCGGCGCACCCTTGCCCACTCCCGTCGTTCCTCTCAGGCAGATGGGAGCCGCAGCCTGCTCTTCCTCCGCCGCCGCCGTTCACGAGAGCGTGCTGCAGCTGCGCCTGAAGAGCCACCGCCGTGATCTCCTGCTCCCTCGCCCTGGCCTGCCACGCCTGCGCCTCCGCGCTCAGCTTCGCCGCCCTCGCTTCTAACTCCATATTGCGCCTCCGAGCCTTTTCCACATCCGCATCTTTCTCCTTCAGACGCCGTACCGCCGATTCCTCCGCCGCTCCCAGCAACGCTCGGTAGTATCTTTGCCTCTTCTCCTCCAATGTTCTCCGCAATTGCCCACCCTATTCAGAAATAAACCAAAATCAGAACCCTAAATCCTAATCTCAGTCCGTACAGAAGAAAAAAATAAATCAAGGCGCTTCACCTGAGCTCGGAGATAAAGTTCGATTTCATCTCGTTGTTGTTTGATGAGGTTACCTAAATCTTCTGCCAAGGCCGAGAAGAAAACCGGAGAATGTTGACGGTGTTGCAGCTGTTGTTGTTCGCCGAAAGCCAGACGGAGGCCGGTGGATACAACATTCGGCGGCGGCGGCGGAGATGTGGGCAGCTCGGTGAGATCGACCACCGCCGGAAAACTGTAATCTCTTCCCCTCTTTCTCGAATTCGCATCAACAACTATAATCGCGCTCCAAATAATAAACACACATTTAGATTGTTTGATCAGAAGATTCAACAGAAGATATTTTTGGCAACACCAATAATCGCTATCTACTTTCCTTACCTCCATAATTGACCAGAATTTCAGTCTGATCGAGATATGCTCCCCCACCGGCACCGGCGCCGGTATTTATAACTGGGTTCCTTCCGCCGTTCTGGGCACCTCTGCCGGAGAAATCCGAATCAGATTTCTGTAAACAAAGAATAAAAGTAATCTATTGAATAGAAACAGGGGAGACCAGAGGGGGTACCTGGTCAAGAACAGGGGATATGAAGAGTATTGAGCTTGAACCGCCATTGGTATGAAACTATGAGCTATGAAGAACAGATAAAATGGTTTATATTTATAATGAAGAATTCTGATATTTGCAGATATATAAAAGGGAAGAGAAAAGAAAGGAAAGGAGGAAGGGGAGGAGATGGGGAGGTGAACAGAGAAAGGGGTGTGGTTGAATAATTAAGGCATACACAGAAACAGTATGAATGAGAAATGGAAGGGGGAGTTCTTGGCCAGTTTAGAGAGAGAGAAGAGAGAGAGAGGGGGATTGGCAGGGAGTGAATAATGAATGAATGGGTCTTCCTTCTTTTCTTATATGGGAAAACGGGAAAACAGAGGCTCCGCCATTATCAACAGCTCCACCATTTTCAATATCAGGCTGCTGCTCTGTTTTCTTTTGCCTTTTGGCGTATTAAAAAGAGGAAATGAAGCGTTTTTCTGCTTTTTCTTTCTCTGGTTGGCAGGCGGACTGCTGCTATTCAAACGTTTGGAAACCCTCAGGATATGATAATAAAGAGAGAAGCGTGCGATTGAAAGGAATGAGTCGAGAGGGAGAGAGAGTCTTCTGCGCCATCTTTCTTTCTTTCTTCCTTTGCTTCTGTTTCTCTTCTGCTTTTCCGTGGCTTCACGCTTTTCTTTATGGGAACAGCTCCGAGCCTCTCGTGTTTGTTTTGCCTATCAATTCCTCCCTTATTAATGACTCTTTCTTTTTTTGAGAGCACGACTCTTTCTTTTGAATGCTTTTCTTTTGAACCTCATTTGATTACATCATATCAGATGAAGTTAAGATAATTAATTTAGATAATAATAAAATGCATACAAGGTAGACTTTTATTCAACCAGATCATATTTATACAAATCGAACCGCACCATATCAGACCAAAAAATTTTAGTCTAATTGAAAAAACATCATTACTATTGGTGTAATATATAAGTGTAGACCCACGACAAATGTACTCACAACACAATCTGCTCTGGGCCAACATACGTAAGCAGCCATGCTCGGCCTAGACTCTCATCTATCCAATGGTATCCGCAAGAGACAACCCAAATAACTCCATCGAAGATCAATTAGAAATCAAGATCAAGAACATCATCCCATGTTCCCTCGGGTGAGAACCTCCCGCCCAGACCAACATTCACCAACCGGTTAAACAATATTTCTTGCAGACTTTTCCGTGTATATGCAAACAAGGATGACAATCATCCTTGGATGTGGTAACACACACCAATAGTCCATAGAATAGTAACACGTGTACGGTGCATTATATGAATCCTTTATTTACTACCACCATAAATTCCCCTACTTAAATAGTTGTAAAAGATTCGAAAATACTTTTCTAATTACTTCTCTATCTATTACTGAGTTGTGTCTTCTTTTTATATTACTAGCAATGGTTTTTGATATAGCTATCATTTGATGCTTTTGTTGAGATAAAGAGTAATCAATTTTGCACCTTATTCATTAAAGACTAACAGCCTTCAGACAAAATGGGATGCACTGGAAGCTCTAAGGAAGTCAATCTCACTCAGGCCCCTTAGTAATAGCATGAATACTCCATGCGACCTAGCAAAAAATGAACGCAATTCGTCTACATTGGAGAAGCCACCCATGTGCTTAATCATTCAGTAAAGCGGGTAAAAACAAATCTCAATTACTTTACCAAAAAGTACCTTCCCGAGGTGCCCATGTCATCATCAACCATAGCTATATGAATACCACGAGTTGAGTCAGTATCGTGTAACTCCGTGTTTCGAAGAATCTAGCCCTGGACCGAGCATCACTTTGACCTATCTGGACTTTGTCATCTCATTTCACAGGTGACTCTATTGACGTTGAAAACACAATACATCTCCTTATTGAATTGGGTACGTTTCCCCATGGAGCTGGATTGAAGATGGAGCTCATGGTCATCATCTTTGAGTTGCGTACAAACTTATCTTGAGCTAATAAGCAGTGCTCGAAGCTTTAGAAACCATCATATCCATGAAGCACTTGTGCCACAAATTCCTTATTGACACTTACATTGGGTACGCATAGGTCAACCACAGAGGATATACGAGTCATGCTATCTCAAGCTCACAAGGAAATTGGCCAAGGGAGAATTTCGAGCTAACACCATCCTCCTGACAATGGCCTAAGAGGAAGAACGACCAAGGGACAAATGAGTCAAAGACGTGGAAGGGGTCTTACTCGACACGACCATGCTCGAGAGGGTTCTAAAGATGGGAAGGCAACTCCAACCGGGATTGCAATAAGATATGTTCCTCATCCTCCGAGTGTATGCCATGATCTTTGCATGGGGACTCAAAGACATGTCGGGGATAAGCCATGATGTCATCACCCATCGTCTAGCAATAGACCCCAACTGTCATCAGACCCCCAATCAAATGGTAGAAAAGTTATCTCTCACAAGAAAGGTGATATTTCGTCAAGGTTGGGGTCACAATGCTCCTCAGCATCAACCACATCAAGAATGTCAAGTCTATAAGTCGTTAAAGAATGCGGCCCTAGCTCATAAGATATCGAGCTTCATAATTTTCATCAACTATATCGACTAACTGATGGACGAAACAACTGGATGCTAGCTTATGTTGTTCCTTGATGTTATGAGAGGATACCATCAAATATTCATGCACTAGAATGGTGTCGTGGCGAGAATACTTAGACAATGTTGATTCATGTGTTTCATGTCATCATTTGAACATAAGGACATTACCTTTGTTTAGACATTTTTAACTTTGTTTTACAATAACAGATAATTAATGGCGTGTACGATACTAATATAAATATTGGTGTGATTGAGATTAATTTGGTTTGGAAATTATTTTAATATTAGGGAGATACATTTATTTTGATCAACATTTTATTTTTTTGTGTTATATGATTTATGACATTTGAAGTTTACGAATCCAAAGTAAGTATTTAATTTTGGCTAAAGGGTCAAATAGGCCCTTGTACATGTTCGGAATGCTCAATTCACACCCGGAACTCGCCAAAAGTTCAAATCCCATTTTTTGCATATAAATTTTCGGTCATCGTTACGTCAGCCGGTTAGGTGCCAACTGTGCATCCCACGTGGAAATCTAAGGAGTCAAATAGACCCCTGAACCCGACAAAGTTGTTCAATTTACCCCCTCAACCGTTAAAAAGTGTCCAAATTGCTATTAAAAATATGAAATTAAAAAATAGAAAATAAAAATATAAAATGATATACAAGTTCGTAATATAAAATATAGATGTCTATTTATAATATAATAAGACGCTTTTTATATTTTAGGGTAAATTAAATATATATGTATACATATATAAACATAATGAAGGTACTTATTTTTAAATACATAATATAAAAATGTAGTAGTCTGTAGCTATTTACATATTATAATTTTTATATAGTATAAAATTTTTATGTAGCATATAATTAGTACGGAGTATGAAGTATAGTATGTAGTATATAATTCTAGAATAAAATAATACGAAGTATATATACATATATGCATGTGTGTGTTTGTAATTTTACATATAAATCTTAAACATATTAAAATATGAAAATAGTTTTAATGAACTTCTTTTAGTTTATTTTATTCGAATTTACTGTAAATATAAATATATCCTTATTTTTTGTGGTAAATTCACATAAAACAAAACAAAACAAATTCATTAAAAACATTTTGATAATTTAATTCCATTAAAAAAAATCAACCATACATTTTTTAAAAAATTAATATTAAATTTTGTATTTTGCGTATTATTTTTCCTATATTATATATATATATATTTAATTTACCCGAAAATATAAGAAATTTATTCTCATATTATAAATAGACATATATTTTATAATATGAACTTGTATATTATTTATACTTTTATTTTATATTTTTAATTTTTTATTTTTTAATGGCTATTTGGACACTTTTTAACAATTGAGGGGGTAAATTGAACAACTTTGTCGGGTTCAGGGGTCTATTTGACCCCTTAGATTTCCATGTGGGATGCACGGTTAGTATCTAACCGGCTGACGTGCCGATGACCGGAAATTCACCTGCAAAAAATCGGATTTGAACATTTTTTGTTGAATTCATGGGGTGAATTGGAGCTTTTTTGAGTTCAGAGTGCGAATTGAGCATTCCGAATAGGTACATGGGCCTATTTGACCCTTTAGCCTTTACTTTTTCTCTGAAGAAATATCGGACTACCTTGGAATCGTTGGAGCCCCTTAAGAAGTGATGAAGATTTAAGAATATACTTCTGAAACTTTAAAATAAACTCTTACTATGTACATTAGTTGTTATTACCTCCGTCTCACTCAACTTTGTCAAGTTGATGTTAGGTGCGAAATTAGAATAGTAAAAATTGTGTGGTTGAGATTTGTGCAGCGGAGAGAGAAATGAACAGAGCCACAAATTCATTGCTTTAAAAGGAAAGTGACAAAGTTTTTTGGGACAAACAAAAAAGGATGGCAAAGTCCAGTGGGCCGGAGGGAGTATTGTTTATTTCTTTATTATTATTATTATTAACTTTAAACTATTAGGCAAGTAGTACTTTGACAACAAGCTAAGTCAAGAACTAGTAATTATTTCCTACTTTTTTTTTTGTACTTCTTAGTTATAGTTTTAGAACTATATAGTATGATTCTAAATCATTCACACATGCACATACGGTATATATCAAGAAAATATTTGATTATTAGAAATTATGGTTGAGAGTCATAAAATAATTTGAGATTATTACAAAAATAAGTTACTACGTATGTGACAAGTAAGAATCACAAAAAAAGCTGACCGTAAGATATCAAGTAAGAACATTATTCTAAATTTGGGAAAAGATGCAAATAGACGCATGTACTAAGCAAAAAAGGTCAAATAAGTCCTTATTTAGGAAACTTTGTCCGACCGTCGTCATTTGGGGTGGTTCCCGGTGAAATTTTTTGAAGAATTTTTTTGAGCATATTATTCATCAAGTCTATTTTACTCATATCAAATTTCAGCTAAAACTTCAATCGGGAATGCATTCAAATGAATTCTTGAAGATAACTGCGCTTCTAACTGCGCAGTTATTTTCAAGAATTCATTTGAATACCTTCCCGATTGAAGTTTTAGCTAAAATTTGGTATGAGTAAACTAGACTTAATGAATAAGATGCTCAAAAAATTGCATCAAAAAATTCCAACGGGAACCACCCCAAATGGCGACGGCCGGACAGAGCCTCCTAAATAAAGGCTTATTTGACCTTTTTTGTTAGTACATGAGCCTATTTGCACCTTTCCTTTCTAAAATTTGGTTAGAACTTTTTGTCAAGCGCTTAGGCGGCCGTGACTAGATGGATCGTGGTCCAATTTATTTTCTCCTCTTTGTCATAAGAACATAGTTTAATCAATAATTAATCTATTGCTCTTAGCATGTATTTTTATATTCCTACAATAAAAATTAGTTTTAGAGACTAAAAAACACAAATTACTTATCTTAATACAAAAATATAAGATTTAATAATTATTTCAGTTATTCAATTATCAAAACATTATGAAGTCATTAATAAGTAATACGGAGTATTAAAATTCAGATCATATGAAATGAAATAAAAAATGAGAAAAAAAGAGGGATATCAAGAATCAAGATGACTGCCTAGGCGAGTTTGGCACTAGGCATCAACCCTTACCTGACTTATTGAGCGTGTTAAAATGTTTTTAATTGGGATGAT